TTTTTCAGTTCTATGATTTCATCATACATCTCTTCTTTTTCCTTGTAGTCAGGAGTTCCAGGAATGTAGCCTACAAAAAAAAAAATGGTAAATAAAAGAAGCAGAACTGAAAGAAATATTTTTTCCTAAATGAAAACCTTAAAGGGAAAAGTTTCAAACATCATCATATTGGAAACTAAGCATTAAAAATAATAAAAAAAAACAAACAAAACTAAATCAGCAAAGAAATTTATTTTACATATGGAAACAAAATTGAGGTGTTACCATAGAACCTTCTGCTACATCTCATGGCAAATTTCTCCTAAAGTTTCTTTTCTCTATTGCACTAAATTAAAACATCTGAAGAAAACCACACTTCACAGAAGACTGAAGTCTTTTCCCAACAATTATTTACAAAACACATCTAAGATGTCCAAAATATGTTTTTTTTGTTGATACTTAATGGGCGAAAGCTTATTGCCTTTTAGAGTCAGCACGAGCTACGTGTTAGCAGTAACAGTGTAGGTGGCATTTGAAATGCAATTTCATACTGGGATTTTTAACATCACAGTTCTCATTTAAGAAAAAGAACAGGACGAAAGTTTCACATTTTGCCTTTCTTATAACACCCAGTTGATTTTAATATCACAACCACATGATAGAACACTTTCTAGAGAAAAAGTAAAAGGAGTCAATTACACAGAATTTCAGGCAAGCAGATGGTTTCTATCAATGGTTCTGAAACTGCTTCACAGAGTTCAATAAATTGTCTACAGCTGGCCCACTGAACCATATTATATTTGCAATGTTTTCAGCTGAAAATGCATGGCAGTCTGCAAGAACTCCTGAAAGCTAATAGTGATTCATTGCTCAAAAAATCTGGGAGCTGCCTCAACCAATTTGTAAATCTCAAAAGTATTCCAACGATTCTACTTTGACACACCATTGTAACATAGGTTAAATTGAAACGGGGCTTGTTTTACTCAAGCTATGATCTTAAAAAACAATGCATGAGTTTACATGGAAGAAAACCAGACCACTAATTTTTATCTACCATACAGTTACAGAGTTTACCATTACTAGAAGAACGGGAATGTTTGGGCTTCTTCATTCCTAGAGCTTCCTTCAAGTACTCTGGAGTGCTACTAGAAATGCCAGCTCGCATATGTCCCATGTCAACATCTGATCTCAGGGAATGGCTCATTCCTGCCAACAAAAAAGGAACAAAATGCAGAAATCAGGGATAACTGTGAATTACATCGGTGGATTTACTGTGAACAAATACAACACTGAAAGCTCCAGGTGCTGTTAATTATTCCTACTATAAATTCCAATGCTCAAGATCAGATGACTCAAACTCAGTTCCAACCACCCAAATAACTACTATGGAAATGACTTCCCATGCACCCTCTAACCAAACACACGTTTCCCATCTCAGAGCTCATGTGTTAAGCTGTCCCCAGGAGTGAACTGTAACCACTCTGCAGATAACACTTCTATACTGATACCTTGTTTCAGTGATCCCAGCCACATCTGCTTTGGGTTTTTCATAGCTGCACTCTCAAAATGTGCGTTGCCTGTTCCCTGCAGAGATCTCCAAACTGCAGCTTTCTTAGGATACAGTTGTGTGCTAGAGCTGTACGGAGACTCTAAAACAGAAGAAAATATCTTAACGTTGCCTTAAAAAGCTCAAGATCACAAAAAATCTGTTTTGAGCTTCAGGTTCCCAGCCACAAGCGAAAGAGGCAGAGTAACATAATAACAGTAACATCACTCAACATAAGCAGAAATACTTACTTGGAGACTCAATCTTAAGAAGCTTGTGTATCTATGTTCATACATCTGACCTACAGAAATGTCCCTCATGTGAGAGGAACACTCCTGGATAAGCTGACAGAAGTGGCTCTGTGGCTATTAAACCACTGGCAACTTTCTAGCAGCAATCAAAAAACAGGATTGGGTCTGACACTGCTGGAGAGCCCCTCTCAGCACTACTTCAGGTACTGCAGTTAGGTATAAATACTGATAATTACTCATGTTTTGAAGCTGAGTTTAGATGTCTGCTATATTGACTGGCAAGTTAGTCTTCAAATTGAGAAGTAGATCAAGGAAGAAGCAATTAAACTAAAAATCATGGTTGAAATTAAGGAACTGTTTTAATTCCATCATTTAGAGATTCCAGGTAAAGGAAGGAGGTAGATATGCTCCTGTCAGAAGAGTTTGCCTCCTTCTCACTCTAGAGCAAAAATGTGAAGTGCTATGTGATTTCTTTTATTATAAACACAAAGTAACAACAATCACAACAACACCTGAGATTGTTTTCTTTGAGATATTCACTATAAATATAAAAAGGAAGGTAAATGGAAATACATGGTAAGAAACATAAAAGCCAGAAAATAAGCTACAGACACAGCACACCTGCAGATCCAGTACTGATGGAGAACATTCTACGCTGTACTTCTAAGGTGACAGGGAAAAAAGAATGAAATGGAAGTGCTTAATCTACTAACATAAATATCTGTTAGATGGTAGGATGTGCAGGTATCTCTGATTATCTCTGGTAATCCCATGGTCTTTCTGCAGAGCAAATACCAGCACTTACTAAAATGGGGGGGAAAAAAAATTGTTTTCCCCTTCCTGAAAAAAATCAAGAACTGTTACTAAACTATAAGCTTCAATACTCAGCCTGTAAAAGTCTAACTTCACTGCTTACAGAATACAAATCTCAAGCAGAGGTGCTCTGCACACACAATGAACAATTCCAGTGAGAACAAAGAAGTTGTTTCAAATAAATCTACCTCCTGTGCCACAAAGAAATCTATCTTGTTATGCACAATGGAAGCAGAAGATTTTTGAGCTCTTACTTGGTGACTTTGGAGGCTTGTGAAAAATTTTCTTCTTTAATTTCTGGAAAAAAAGAAAAAAAGAAAATGGATGTGCTTAAAATATCATGCTCTCTGAACACTCCAGCATATAACTGCAAAACTGGCTTCAATCTCCATGTTATGTGAAGAGCACTTATTAGAATAACTCAAAACCTTTTGTGCATAAAACAAAACCAGAAGCGTTAAATACATGCAGATCTGGCTACAATAACAGTCACAAAAATTAGGATGGAACCTACTGAAGCTTTGTGCTATGAAGTAGACTGTTCATGCTCAGAATACTAAGACCTTCCTGGTCTGCATTACATACAACAGCAAGCCCACAATGATCACAGAGCAGAGGCTGTACCAGAATAGAGTAGGACCACTCCTCTAAAGGAAAGGCTTGTTCAATTCCATTAGAGCACAGTAAAACAGCTACTCAGGCCCTCAGCTTGATAAAAAGCAAAATGAAGCAAATACCATTTGCAACTCCCAGAGAATTTAGAAGCCTGAATTACATCTGGAATTAGAAGAGATTTTCATATCAAACTACACCGCAGTAAGATTGCAAGCTCTCCTCTCTGAAGGATGTTCTTATCGATCAGGAGCCATCGCATGGGTGTAGCCTGTGCAAGAACATTCTGAGAGGCCTTTTTAAGGCATTTAGCTGCAGCATGCCATTAACTCACCATTTCTGCATCTGATTCACAGGTTATCACAGACAAGCTGTCATCTCCCTGGGAAATAAACACAAACTGTGACATTTGCTGCTCTCCAAGTAATTGCTTTTAATACATATCCAGAATGATTTGTTACTAACACAACAGAGCTCAAATACAACAAATTCCAGTGGGAAACAAGTCATCGCTTTTGCAAACACAGCACGATCTGCGTTCTGTGTGCTAACAATGCAAGTCACTTCTAACAAGTACCACAGAGATTAGGCACTTTGGAGTGCACCATCACACAGCCGTCAGGTGTCCCATTTCCAAAGTGCAGGCACTGCATGAGCCTCTCCCCAGTCACACCTGGCCAAACAGCAACTCATCCTTTTGTCCTCTTCCTCCCTTACTTGTTCCCACCCTTGCTATGCTACAGGAACATTTAATAGACTGAAGAAGCAATGGGGCTGAAAAAAAAGGACAAACTACCGAGTCAAAAAAGAGTTTGATCTTTCCTCACGCTGAGCTGACAGAACCTTCTGCTTCTCGAATGCGAGCACATCCACAGCAGAAGGAAAATTTCCACTTCCCTTTCAGATCACACAAACACACGCTGCCCTCACAAAACATTTTCACTTGCCGCCAACTCCGTGGCGCTTCCAGCTGCAGCCCCATTCTTTGGAAAGACGCTGATCTATCTCCGTGAAAGGCGAGGAGGGGACAAAATATCTCTTAGATTCCCAGCTGATGGAAAAAGAGATGAGGCTGACAACAACAGCACAGCTAAAGCAGCTTTTTGTGCTGGCTGAGAGCAGGCACGCGTGCCTCTCACACACTATGCCAGTTAGCTTTTAATTTCCCGAGGCAAGATTCCCCGCAGCACAGCAAGATGTTATTTCTGTTGTTTTTAAGGCCTTTTTATCACTCCGTGCCATCTCCCTGCACAGCTGCGCCTGTCGCAAGGGGAACCACAGTGAGGAAGGCAGTCGGCCCTGGCACAGCATTCACCCGGGCAGAAAGGTGCCACAAGACGAGCACTCCAGTCCCTGCAAACGTTCACAGCCCAAAACAACAAGAGAACAGCTCTCAGCGAAGGGCCTCAAAGCCTCCATCGAACTGCTGGGGAGGGACAGAAAGGAGCGCTACATCCCCCACGCCACAGACCGAGGCCTCGCTCCTCCTCTAGCAACCGCAACCTCCACCTCATCGGCCTGACGGTTCTGAGGGCCCCGCGCCCAGGCTGCTCTCCTCCCCTCGCTGCCCGTTCCTTACCAGCTCTCCCTCCGCGGCCATAGCAGGCCCGACCTCAGGCCTCGGCGCCCGGCTAGGGGCACTTCCGGGTTGCGGTAGCCATGGCAACGAGGCGACGCGACACCGAGGCTCCGGGCCGAGCGTGCGCCTGCGCAGTGAGCTCCGGGGATGAGGCGGGGCTTGGCGGGGCGGTCGTGAGGCCGTGCTGCGGGGCGCGAGTGCCACCCAGCGGCCGTGAAAGGTAGGAATGGCGGAAGGCCGGGCCGCGCTGACCCTGGAAGGCTTAATTTGCGTTAAAAACCGCCTATCGGACGTTAGCGGCGCGCGCTAAGCGCGCCCGGCTTTTGCGACACTCGCTTTACGGCCGGCGGCGGCGGTGGTAACGAGTTCTCCCTTGGTCGTTGGGGAGCCCAACGTCGCCCCGCCGCCATGTCACCCCGGGGCCGCCGCATCATGAGCCGTGAGTGCGCCCTGCTGCTGCCCAGCGTCTGTGCGGCGCTGGCCGATCCGTGGCAGCGCGGCCCGGATGACACCTGCTTGGAAAAACTGCTCGATTGGTTCCGAGAGCTGAGGGAAGCCGGTGAGTGCGGGTTAGGGCGCCCGAGGGCTGCGCCAGGGGGAGGAGGGGGGGGAGTGTAAGAGGGGGTAGAGGGGGGATTGGGATTCAGCTAAAGCCGAGGATCACCGGTACCGCCGAATTCGGCGACGTCGCTTCCTGTCCTTGGATAATTCCCGTTCACCAGAGCCCACCGCGAAGCTGCTGCGAGACAACCCCTGTCTGACGAAGTTCTTCACCGCCGTGCTGGCGCTGCCGGAGCCGGAGCCGAAAGTCCTGTCCTTCACGCTGCGGTTAGCTGGGATAGTCGCGGCTGCGAAGAACAGCTTCGTGCACCTGCAGGTGAGTTGTGCGCCTGGTTTCCCCTGTGCTGAGGACTCCTGGATATGTACAGATTCTGCATGTAAGGCTTCTCAATGATAACCTGCAATAAGCCTTCTCAGTTGTCACATCAAGCTGCTGTCATCTCATTGCTTGTCTTGCAGCAAGCTGTAAGTCCTCATATGTAGTAATTCTCAATTAAAGTTCAAAACATTATATAGGATAGCAGTAGGTCTCATCAATAGCTGCAGAATATCATATATCCCTGGACAGGTCCTTTAGATTTAAACTGCAATTACAGATGTAGTTTTCTGACCATAATAGATTGATTTCCTGCAAAAATAAGGGAGCTTCTTAAAGTCCTGTTCTATATAGCAGACTCCATTTATAGTACAAAACTCTGGTTTGGGAAAGAGATGCGTGCAACATAAAGCAGCTTAACAGATCTAATGTATATGTAATTTTTCTGCTGCATCTTAAGAAACAAACAATAGAACCCTTACACTGCTTAGTCCGTAAAGAAGAGCTATGTTGAGTTCAAGCATGAGAATCTGACAATTCTCTATTTTAGTGTTTATTTAGAAGGTTTCACTGCAGTATTTATATTGTTGACATGCAGCTTCTCTGCTCCTCTGAAGCCCCTCTGCTTGCTCTTTATTCTGTGTGTTCTCTGCCCTCAGCGGCTGGGGCTGTTGGCCAGGCTGTTTGGTGAGGATGGGCCTCTGAAGAGAGCAGCATGGGAAGATGCATCTGTGCGAAGTGGCTGGGTGGAGGGCGTCCACAGCATGGTGCAACACCAGTCTGCCCTCCACTTCATCTGCAGTGGTGGTGAGTGCTTCCAGGGCTGGTAATGCCCCAAGTCCTCCCATCCATCTTGCTACGATTTTACTGATGAAAAATTAACCAGGGACTCATTTATTTCTTGACACTTACATTTTGCAGTCTCATTTTCCTTGCATGGGTTTTTAAGTTCTCCTGCTGTTAACACCAACTTTAGATCCTCTATATAGAGAGGCCAGGAATGCTGGATGGGTACTAGCCTATGCAGCATGTGATGGAAATGAGTACTGCTGCTGCAATTCCCTTTTTTCCTTACTGGATCTGTCTGCAGATGGTACAGACTCCTTCCATAAATATACCCTCCTAATATTACAGCCATTAGAATGAAGTCTTCTGTTCCTGAGTTACTAAGACATGTGAAGATCTGAAAAATTTTACTTTCTTCTTTTTGTTTGCTTGTACCTAAGGACTGTCTGACTTTAAAAGGCAACAGGGACCGCAAAACGTTAAAAAACAAACCACATTTAAGCCTCTGTGTTACTTGGATTAAAATAATATACAGCTGGACTGCAGCAAGACTCCACAATAGGAAGACTTGTTATTTTCCTTCATTGACTTCTGTTTTGTTTTCACACAGGAGGCATAGATGTGATCTTTGTTCTGCAAGGAGATCCCAGCCTGTTTGTGGCTTCAGCTGCCCGTTGTCTTCTGGTGCACTTGCTCACCCACTCTGTAGGGCCTGAACTGATTGTACCTCTCGATGCCAAGGACTGCGACTGGCCAGCGTGTGCCCACGTGATTATAAAGCATATAGAAGATTCTCTTCAATCCAACTCTGCCTCTCATGTCAAGCAGTCATTAAAACTGTTAACTAGTCTGTTTGGCAGTTGTCATGCTCCTTGGACTAAAGTGCTTTGGTTAGGCGTTGCAAAGCGAGTAGAATCCTTCTTGACAGAAGATTCTGTTCAAGCACAGCACGTACTGGTGGATCTTCTTCTAAACATGGCAAGGTGAAGATCTTGGATCCGGTGATGAGAAATACCATTTGTGTTAGTAGGACATATGACTTACTGTTCTTTCTTCTCAGGTCTCCTGTGTTTCGTGAAGACAGTTTTTGGGCATTAGTGACATCTGCTCTGGAACACTTAACCCCAGAACAATCAGGTGCTTTGGCAGGGGGAATTCTGAAGATCTACCCATGGTAGGAGTTGCTGCTATGAATTTTTTTCACTCTGCAAATGCTCCCAACATCTCTGCTCGTTTCTGAGAGTTGTTTTATTCACCGCACTGCACTTTCCACTGTATTGCTTAATACAGTGGACTGATTGGTGAGAACCATGCAAATAGCTAACAAACTTCAGACACTGCTATTAGAATAATTGTTTCAAAGACAGAAATGAAAAGAGCCAGTGTCATGTTCACACACATGCTTTTGTATCTTACCTACAGACAGCAATTTTGGACAGAAATTCAAAGCTCCTTTAACTTTTTAAGGCCAAGGTTGTTTAAGATGGATATTTTGACTGTCAAATTTAGAAGTATTTGGTTACTTTTCACATGAGCTCTGACAAGTGTAACAACTTGAACCACTGTCCAACAGAAGTGTGCATCTTGCACACATCGTGCATCTCTGTCAACAGTAGGAAAACTTAATTTAGAAGGAAGCAGTATAGGTGATCTAATCTGACTTCTTATACATTGCAGGACTGCATTTAGAGATGGATTGGGTTGCTCAGGGCCTTCACCAATCCAGTTTCAAATATCCCAAAGGATGGGGATTCCATAGCTGCTCTGGGAAACCAGTTCCAGTTCTTTACAGTCTCACTATGAAAAGTATTTTCCATGTATCCAGTTGGACTCTGCCTTATTGCTGTTTAAGGTGTTGCCTCATCTGTTGTGCACCTCAGAGAAATCCAGTGGCATCTTCTCCCTTTAGATGGTGAAAAAGCATGGAGAAGTCATCATACGTTGAATGACTATAGCACATAGATACTTACTTTCAGACTAACTAACATGTGTATCTTACTGGCATATATATATATTTATTTTTAATGCAATAAGTGCCTGTCTAAACTCTCTTCTTACACAAGTTTTCACTCTTTGCTGCTGGATGAGGCTGTTTGTCAATTCCAGAACCATTCCTCTCTTTCAGTTAGCCAGGGAGAATCAGAAGAACGCTCGACTTGTGACAGTAATTTCATTTCTGTCCTGTTGCTGGCTTTTTTACAAGCCTGTGTGAAAATCACTGGTCTGCTCAGCATTTGGGGATAGATGTTTGGGGTAGAGTTGACGTTTTCTTGTTTTGGTAATTGCTGTTTCTTCCTTGAAGCCCACAGGTTGTGACAATTAAAGCACTGACTGTTCTCTTTCAACCAATGGAGTGTATTTTGAGAGCAGCCTCCGTGGAACGTTCAGGTAGTATTGCAATAGAAAAGTTAGAGGCTATTCTGTTTACCAGTGTTTTAAGTGCCTGGTTTCAGAAAAACTGGAGAAAGATTAAAAGAAAAAGTCAAGGACAGCAGCAATGTTTGTGGTAAAGTGCAGCGTCCTGCTGACGGTTGCATTTGAAGGGATCTTCATGCTGCATCACCTCAAAATAGTAGCTCAAAAGTCAAGTTTGGAGATCACTATCCTTTGTAATCACTAACAGCTTGAGTTTTTCCCTTCTTTGATTCCCTAGGTTTGCTGTATGAGTCAGTTAGTGATCCCTCTGCTGTTGAAAGCCTTCTATCCTCCAAGTCATCTTGTGCTGGTTTTCTGTGCCAGACCCTTGCTCATCTGGGGGAGCTGCTCTCTGTGGAAAAAGTGAGTTCTGCTAGTTAGAAAATCCAGCAGGATACATTCCCAATAGGATAACAGAAGAATAGTAAGTCTTGTAAACAGGGACCATACTTGGTTTTACATCTACCTTCACAGGCTTAGTTGCCATACATTATATCCACTGCAAGTATTGATCCAGTGAAAAACATAAGTAGAGTTGCTTTCCCAAGTAGTGAAAAGCATCTCCTCCCATTTATGCAATGGTTCACTGGGGGAGAGGGAGGTTACTTGTTAGCAGTTATTAGCATTATGTTACCGTAAGGACAATGGAAGTTGCAGCTTTTGCTGTGTCTCTACCAGAAACTTGCTCTGTATGTATGCTTGAAACATTTGATGGAAGCTTGTTGTGGTTTTTTCCCTCCCATTAGGTTTTTTTGCCCAGGAATTTACCCTATACATCTTTGCTGTGTTCTGTCATGACGACATTACTGTTCTGTAAAAGCCTCCTGATTCCAGCTACTGCTCTGGGAAGCAAGATTAGCCAAATCTTGGCAGGTTGCTTCCGAGTACAGAAGTCAGCTCTTGATGTCCTTGCAGCATTTCCTGACTGCAACTGTGAGTTAAACTTTGCATTTAAATTTTAATTTTGGAAATTACTATTCTGTATTTGAAGACTGTGCTTGCTTTCTTCTATAAAACAGTTTTATAATCCTCTTTCATTCCATATTTGAAGAGCTGAATTATTCCCTTTTTCTTAATGTTGGTTCTTGAGTTTTTGTTTTGCTTTGTTTTTAAACGTTTCAGGCAATGACACAACTATGAGAAGTTTGTTTGACGTCCTTCTGATATACCTGGAGAGTCCAAACACTCCTCCTACTGTGAGTATAGAACTAAAGAAGGCTCCAAATCTACTGGCTTGCCCAGTGGAACATACTTCTGACAACCAGTCTGACAACAGGTGTTTCTTAGCAGTCAGTATAAGAATATCTAGAAGGCTTCTTCTGAGGGACTTGCAGGAAATAGCTAAAATGGTAATGAGCAAGTAGTTGATCAGTAAGTCAGATATTCTTGAAAATATAGGAGCCATCGTGTCTGACTGTAGAGCCAATATAATCCACTTGACATTGCTATTAAGTAATAAAATCTTTTACAGTAACACTTTTGTTTTCTTGCTTTCTTTTGTCCAAATGACTCGGGTGACAGCTGCAAGTGAAAAGCTGGAGACACTCACAATGTTTTAAAGTTGAGAACAGTTGGCTAGAAATGTGGCATAAGCACTATTCATTTGTGGCTTATTTTATAGAATGAAAGTGCATGCACTAATTTCTTCTGACAATTTCACTGTAATTTTGAGTGGAAAAAAAAAAAAAATTGTCTAGCATAAAGACAAAACCGCCTTCTCCTGCAATAAAGTACATCTGCTTTGTATTTCTTCAGGTTCTGAAGAAATCATTTAAAGCTATGTCCATGTGGTTGAGGAGCTCGTCAGGAAAATCCTTCTTCAAAAATAAGCAACAAGCTGACAAGATTTTGCGAGGTAACAAAGCTATCGAAGTTGGACAAACAGCAACTGGTGGCACATCTGAAATGTGCTCTCACCTTCCTTTTCCACTTAAAGCAGTTAGGATTTGTTTCCAGTTGTGCTGAATTTAGTTGTATCTGCTCATACAGTGCTTTGAGGAACTGTGAGAGAAGCAAAGTCAACAAAAGGGATCACATCAGGAAACAGTGCAGAGGCTGCACAGTGGTTTGGTTTGTTACCTTTCATCTCAATTCCCCCCTCTCGCTTGGCTTTCACAGAGGTGTTCCTGGTGCTGCAGAAGCGTTTGTGCAGTCCTTGCTGGGAAGTACGAGACTCTTCTCTGGAGTTCTTCACCAGCTTGATTAGAACCCTGGCAGGTATGTGCAGAGATTTAATGGTTCAGATTGGAGGACCGTTTCTTGTAATGTTGTGAAAGTCAGTCAGGTCTGTGGAGCATCTTCTGACCTGTAACTGCAGGGGGAAGGAAAAGATAAGTTGAGATTTTTACTTTCAGGTCACAGTCAAAATCTGTCAAAAAGATTCATAAACATACGCCACTATTCTGTTGAATTTGAGTTGCTGTGTCCTCCTTAATGACAGCTTTAGCAAATTAAACTATGTTGTGTGGCTTGACAGCAATAAGGAATGACCTTTTTTTTCTTTCTCCCTTAAACAAAAGTTGCTTGATGGGGCTGAAACCACACTCTGATTTACCTGGAGCAAATTTTTTCTCACCAATAGAAACAACTGTAAATGCATTTTTCCAAACTCCAGTGTCAAACACGGCACAGCTGGAATTCACCAAGCTGCTGCAAAGTGAGGAGCCTGCCAGAAAGTGTCCGTGCTCCTGTGAGCAGCAGCTCCATTCACTGTCAGCTGCCCTGCAGTCAGCGATCATCCTCGTATGACACAAATCACTGTTTGCATTGGAAACAAGTTCATGCTCCGAGAGAATAAAGCCTCACTTCTTTGCATTGCTGTCTCATTTACAGACTGTAGGGATTTCAGGAAGTTTCTCCTGTTTTCGGAGATGCCAAAGCGTATAGAAAACCTTCTTGAGGATCCAGAGAGCTACGTGCGAGCGAGCGCTGTGACGGCTATGGGACAGCTGGCCTACATTATTTATGTCTATGTTCCACAGTCACGTGTTGCAGGGAGCCGGTATAATAAAGAGGTACGGCTTTGTGTAATCCACTGCAGACACGAGCAGAACTACACATTGTTCCCCTGTTTCTTGTTGTGCTTTTTTGTCTGTTTGTAATGTTCCTTTCCTCCTTTGTCTTTTTACATTTAGAAAACTGCGGCAAAGCTTCAAGAAGTCTTGTCCACAGACCCAGAGGTCTTTCCTAGGAGAGCTGTGATGAGCGTCTTCACCATGTGGGTGAAAGAGAGCTGCACGGGTAAACCGGAAGAGACAGAGCAGTTTGTCACTACGGTGGTCCAGACTGCAGCACGTGACTTAGACTGGGAAGTCAAACTTGGTTGTTTGGAACTGGTTCAAATTTTCTGTATCTATATGTTTTGCCAACTTGGCCTTCCTGAATGCTATTATGCTCCTGTCTCATCTGCAGTCACTAGTTCCGTTCATGAGAACAAGCCACTGCAGATGTTTTGCCGAGCAAACCTGTTCAGCTTCTTGTTTCAGTCTTTGTGTGACTGTGACAAGACAGTGGGTCAGAAAGCCTGTGGTATATTGCTTTCCTTACAATCTCAGTTCTGTCAGAGTAGCACCACAGATTCACAAGGGACTGGAGACTTACCTGCAGGGCATGGCATTCATTGGTTACAAAGGACACTAAGGCAGGGTTCTCTGGTCCAGAACTTCCCCACAGGTGATGGTAGTGAAGTGGACTTTCAAGATCCAGAGAGCATGATGTTAGCTTTGAGAACAATAAACTTAGTGGAACTACACAGTGACCTAAATAAAGGTAGTGACTATGTGGAGAAAAGCCCCCGGTCCCTCTTAGAGGACATCCTTGCTACTGTGGGGACCATAGAGGAGAATGAGGCTGACTGCTACTAAAGACATCTTTTGCTTTGAGGGAACAGTACTTACACGGGTTTCTTGTGAAGAGAATTTTTGCTACCAAAGTGTTATAAGAGAAGATAGTAGGAAGTGTTACTCTGAACAGAAAAAAAGGAATAGTTTTGTTAGCTGTTAACAGAGAGTCTTTGTTTTAATACTGATGGCTTCTCTTATTTTTAAGTATATTCTCTGATAAACTGATCTGCCTGTTTTATTTTTCTAAGTAAATAAAGAAAGGCATTTCTTCTGTTTTTAACGTGTAAGTATGTTAAGAAAGCAGCAGAGCCTGCCTACATAAGGAAACATTAAAAAAGAAAAAAAAAAGGTGACTGAAAGCAAGCTATTGTATGCTTCTAGAAATAAATTCATTACCTGCAACACACTGGACTGAGCTGTCAGTATACAAGTGCTTTTGCGACTTTGCATCATGAAAACAGTGGTCCTTCCATAAACTCTGTGTTCCTGCCATCCAGGGACTCTGGGGATGGAAAGAGGTGGGCTGCTGGGCAGAGGAGGAAGCTGCACGCTGCCTTTCTGGGATGAGTTTTTGTGGGAACTGCAGCTTTTGCATCATATCAGCGTGGGAGCTGCGCAGCCCCTGCAGGAGGCAGATTTCCCCATACAGATGCTACAGATGATTTCAGCAAAGGCTGTGGCCAGGCACGGGGCTCGTGTCGTGTCAAAGGCACCAGTGCTCAGCTCTGTCAGTTACTTAAATGTGGCCTGTGGTAGAAGGCAGCAGCTACACAAGTGATAACAACAGGGCATCACAGATGAGAAAAACCCACATCTCTGAGAGCAAGCACTGTGAACAAGGAAGATTACAAAGCTCTGTTTATCTGAACAGGGGCAGTGCGAGTTCTGTTACCTGCTCTGTACACAGGTATGAAATTCCAAGAATCATTTTCAACACATTTCAACAAAGCACTGGAAAAAGGATTTGTCCTCTCACTGCTCAGACTCACGTTGACGTAGCAAAGAATGTTTGGCTCAGCCCTGTGCTAGTAACGGCTTTGTGAAAGCTGCCAAAAGAATAGCTGTTAGTTGTCTTTTAATACATTGGACGTTTAAAATTCAAAGAGCAGTCTTTGCTTAGTTATGCTCATTGTATGAGTGAAGTAAAAAATGAGCTGTAAGTGTCTGAAGCTGCTGCTTGAGCCTTAGAGAAGTGGTCTGTGAGCGCAGACCAACTCACACACATCTTAGAAATTTCTTTTGTCCATCTCATAAAATTTGCTCCACCTTTCAACACAAGCTCATCAAGGCTTTTAAAACCACCACACGTTACAGAGGAAACTCATCATCCGGCTTCACCACAGTTCTCAGCAATTAACAGTGATAAAATATATCAGCAGCCACACCCCTGTGCTGTGTCATTTCCCTCCAGCACTGTGGGTTTTGTCCTTTGCTGAGAAACAAGCACTGCTAAACGTCGCACAGCCAGACCTCAGACCTCGGTGGCAGAGCTGCTCCTCCGTCTGCAGGACAGACTGTGCTCATAACCCATCTTTCAAACAAGCTGAGTGCCTTTGCAGAGGGGGATGGCACAACGCTGGTGATGTTTCATGGATTGTCTCTGCCCGGTGACAGTGGTTCTGGTGCTCCCATTTGGGGGTCATTTCCCAGGTCAGGTGTAAGGTAACACTGGGATCTTAAAGAGGGCTGTGGTGGGGCTGCTCATCTTCACACCTGTGAGCCGTGCTGTACAAACACCCTTTGTGGGGCTGGTCACACAATTACAACTCCTGTTACGTGCCAGCAATAAAGCAGCAGCTAAAGGAAGAACTGACAGCAGTTGCTAAGTGACAGCGTCCATATAGGCTTGAACAGCCATGGGATGGGCGCAGGGAGCTGCACAGCAATCCCACTTTGTCCATAGAATTAAGGGAAAAAACACTTCTCAGTACCATCCAATGTCCTTAGCTGATGCATCCAAACCAGCAGCACCAAATGTTCACTGCTGCTCGCTCTTCCCACCACTTCCTCCCCAGTGAACTGCTGCACAGGACAACACCACGACATTTTTGGCTGAACAGCCCATTCTGATCGACAGGAAACAATGACAGTGTTGGCACTGATGGTTATTGGAAAAATCAACAGCAACAAAACCCAGCAAAAATCCACCCATCAGCTTTCCGAGCAAACCCATGGCTATGATTAACACTGAGCAGAGCTGTTGTATTGGAAAAATACGGTAACTTTTTCAGAGCTTCAAACAACGTACGTCCTCATAAAGAAAGCATTTAAACTTAGTTGACTAAAATGGTGACCAAGCTGAGGAGCCCACAGACCTGCAGGGCATGAAGGTTCACCTGCTTCTGACAGGGCTGGGAGCAAGGAGACCATGAGCACTGCTTTGCCTGGGTGGAGAACTGCTCATCCCCAAAGAGGAGAGACTAATGGGCACCACTGGCAGCTCGGTGCCCCCAGGCAAGTTACGCTTTGAAAAGAGAAAAACATCAGCAGTGCAAGCAGGCTCTGTACAAACTCTTGCTCACCCTGCATGCTATCACACACTGCAGAAGCAGTCCGAGGCTGTGTTGGTAGCAGAGACAAAGGGACTGATCCATCAGCACCCTGTGAACAGCAGGAAGTGACCAGGAAGTGTCACCACCCAGCTGCAAAAGGAGGAGAGGATCACAAACACCGCTCAGCTGCCTGAGTGCACACACAGTACAGACATGAAGGACCACCTCTGCCCACCAATGCAGCGTGGAGAACCCGTCAGCACGTGGCCCACCTTCACTGCAAGCCACTGCTGAACCTAACGATGCCCTTTTCTAATGGATTCCCTTCCAGCTCCGTCCACACAACTCTCGATTTCCAGTGCTGGTAGGAGCTGCCCTGACCCTGCTGCCAGCTCTCACAGCACAGAGCTCACGCCAGCACAATCAGAGCTCATCCAGACAGATAAAGCCAGCTTGGCTGTTGCCTTTGGTCACTGCCCCCATGTTATCGTATCAAACACTTCCCTTCTGCACATTCCTCCAACGTAAAATGTGAATTTGCTCTCCATTCCATCCAGAAATGCAGCCAGCTAACTGTACATTCTCATAGCTCTTCTCCTTATTGCTCACATTTCTTCTCAACAGCCAGGACAACGTGCCCTGTCCTGGCACCAAAGCACTATGAATCATACAGCACAAACACAACACTGCAGCGCAGACAAAGGTCTGATCCTCAGCAGCACTAAATCAGCACAGAGGTGCAGTGTGGCCAAGCGAGAGGCACATCCCCAGCGCGTGCTGCAGCACAGCTTCACCCCGCTGGTGCTACAGATATGGCATCATGGAAAGAAGAACAGAGCCCTCCAGCCTCTCCAGTTCCTGCACTGGGAACTTCTGACCTGAGGGAATCAGCACTGCCTTCCTCCTGAGTTTGGGAGCATCTTCCCCACCCTTCATGTAGTGCGATGAGATCAAAGATCCATCTCCATGGAAACGTCTGAGTGCACAGAGTTGCTGCACTACGGTGCTGCATCCTGCTCATGGGCTTTGGCACTGCTGCTTGGAGCAGAAGCTTTAAGATCAGATGTGTCAGCATTCGGATCTCTGCTTGATGAGTAATAATTGATTACACGAGCAGCGTGAGTATAAATAGCACATACTATGGAGTGTGACAGTACAGCAAGTATAGGGAGTTCGATGCAGTTTTGGGGAGACACAGCCAGCAGATGTGCATTTTGTAAAACGTGGGGTTTTCTCTGGGGGAGAGGCAGGAGGGAGCAGCCATACCTGTCACTGTGTGCCTCCATCAGCTCCAGATGCAGTGCTGATCACAGAGGTCATCCAGCTGCGCACAGAGGAAATCTGTGCCCACTCTCCTACCACCTCCGGGCTGTCTCCTGCTGCTCCCAAACAGATGAGGGACATTCGTGCTCTCCCATAGCAGATACAGCCACCTGCTGTCTGCTGTCCCCACACCTGCAGCTGGGTAGGACTGCCTGCACACACAGAGCCCAGAACCAAGGTGGGCAGAGCAGCTGAAGCCCTTCACTGCCCGCTCAGACATCTCTGCAGGGAGGGCTGGGCACACTCCACAGGGACTGCCAGTGGAGCAGCAGCAGCCCAGCAAAGCCTTCATGAGCTCTCTGCACTGGGACCAGCTGTGACTGGAAGCACGAAGCTGGGTCACTGCAACAATCTCCTGTCCGGTAGTGCTGAGCTCCAGCTATCCCAGCACAGTCCATCCTACATCCTAGAAGGTGGAAAACAAAAATTGCAAAGAGATAGATGTGGTTTATGATACCGTTGTTCCTAGCTCAGCTCACCACGTGGCCACGTGAAGTGGTGACCTGCTGCAACATGGGCAGGACAGAAACACTCAGAGAGCTGCTGCAGCTGACAGAAAGTGGCTGTAAATATTCAGCTCCACAGAAAATCCTCTATTCCACTTATGTGAGGTTTAAGCCAAGGCCAGAACATAAGAAAGAGAAAGAACTCACTCATGTCCTGAGAAAGGAGAGCAGCAAACAGCAAAGCAGAGCTGACAGCGCTGACATGGGGAGCTCCAAAGAGCTCACACCATGTCTCACTGCTGCATGCAGCAACACTGAGCCCCAAGTCACCCATATGCACAGACTGTTATTTCTGTAATCATATTAGAGAATTTCAGAATAGCAACTGTGCAGTGAGCAGCCCAGCTGCCAGCGTTTAGCCTTACCCTAGGGCACAGGCAGAGAATGCCAGGCTTGAATTAACGCCGTATAAGCTGCACCATGCTGAGTTTCATAGCTTAATTATAAAAGAGAAAGCAATAATCAGGGGATCTATAAGGCTAATAAACGTTCTGAGAGCACCGAGTGTGACCCAAGAGCCACAGCCAGTGTGACAGGACATGAATGCATTTAAAAAGCACATTAATCACACGCCATGCACTAATTTGCAGCTGGCTTCCAGCAACAGCACTTGGCCTTTAGCCACCTTCGTGGCATCCCTGGGTGAAAGCAGACCAGCACTGGAGCAATGCCAGCACCATGAGCAGTGACCCAGCCACGAGCCAGGACGTGGGGGCTCATCCTGCAGGACACGGCCCAGCTCCCAGCCCTGCTGCTCCCAGTGCATCCACTGCACTCAGTTTGGTGCTGGCAGTGCCCACCAGTGAGTTCATCCAGCCAAGGGCAGCCAAGGAGAAAATTGGGGCACGGTGATTTGCCCAAATATCTCAGTGTCTCTGAATCTCTCTCCATCTCGTATCTCATCTCACTGCAGCTTTTTAATTGCACAGCTTGGTGCTGGGCTTTGCTTCTTGTTCAAAGATTCCCTTGTTTTTATACACAGTACATTTTTCTCTAGAGCGCACTGTCTCCATTTAATTATTGCCCATTGAAACTCAGCGCCTTTGCCTCTCTCTTAGGAAAAACTCTGATAGAGCTTAAAATGA